ACAGAACATGTTAATTCTTCACTGGTTGAGAAGGTGCCCCTTTGAGGAAGATTTTTGGGCCCATTACGCTGTCTACAGGCAGTATACTATTGATTATCCTGGCCCTATATGTCCATTTGCTGGGTGAATGTGATCGCTAGGGAGCTTTCTCGCGTTTCTCTTGATCTCTGCATTTTCTCAAAGGGCCTAACGCTGTCGTTGGGACGCTATCTGCCTCCATGTCTGGGCACTCTTGGTCGATGCAGTTTTTCCTCCACGGATTCTTCCCATTCGCCCGAAAGGCTCCATATGCTTTTTACGGGGCCCCATATGTCAGGCTACACTCGGTTGCTCCCTTCACATTAGTCTCGGGTTCTTTCGACTTGCTTGGAGGGCCTTGTGCCGTTGCTGGGGCGCTTATAAGATAAGACACCAAGACACTCGGTGCTCAGGGGCCCCCAGGGTCCAGAAAGAGCCCTCAGGGGCCCAGAGGGCTCTTTCCCTTTGATCTCATCTGCGGGGGACTCTTCGCTCCTGTTGGGGCTCTTCCTGTTTGCCTGCCCTTGTTCTCTTGATCGCGCAGGGGTATTAAACTCATGGTCTTGGATTATTCCCTTTGCTCAAAGGGTACTGTGCTCTGCCCCGGGCCTTATATGTCAGCCTGCTGGGGCACTAACGATCGCTTAGGGACCCACCACGTTAGTTTGGGTTTCTTTTTGCTCGTCCTGAGGGTCCTATACTTGTTCACGGGGGCCACTTTTTGACCTCCTGCGGCACCCATGATCGCTTAGTTTCCGTTCCTATTGGTTTTGGTGCCTTCGCCTCAGAGCGGCAGTCGGATATGCGCCGATGAATTTTTACGCGCAAATGTCGAACCAAATTTTACGTGCCAGCGACATCGCACGTATCATTTCAATTCACTATTGAGTGTGCGACACTTATTATTCTAGTACATCACGTTCTTAGCGTATTTTGAGTGCTAGGCTATTTTGCACCACTATATTACAGGGGAAAAATCCTACATTAATCATCAGCCATCAGTTGATACATCGCCCAGCCGGCTCGCCCTAAACAAGTTAGGAATTGAGCCGCCGCTCTGGGTTTGATGGTTGTTAACAGCCAACTCGACTGAATTTTGCCTGCTGTTCCGAAATACTTAGCCTCAAAATAACAGGATTAAACATAATCTGCAGAACATGAATAAGCTTTATGTATATGCATACGTAGCACTCCTAGCTTTATGGGGCTGCGCATTGTAAGTTGGATGTTCGTTTATATATATATATATATATATATATATACATATATATATATATGCTAAATACTATTTGTCTTAAAATGTACTGACCCGAATGCCAGGATATTTTTTAGGAGGGGGCCTGAAACTCTAGGTGGCCCCACAATGTGCATGCCCCCCCCCCCTGGCGAACTCCTGGATCCGCCCCAGCGCAGCAGCCGCGCTGCCATCAACCTTCACTATCATGGCACTAAGCCGAATACTGCTCGTGACACAGGCTACAAACAGCGCGTCCTGGCTGTTTGTAATGCTATGTCCGCCACCGCGGCTTGCGCCGCATGCTCTGGGTTTGAGAGGGCGCAACTTTGTTACTGTGACAAACACTGGGGGGGTAATATGAGTAAGTGGGTTTTTTATGTTGTTGTGCAGGCTGCTGACACGGGAGTGAAATGTGCTGTACGCATTCAAATGCCAAATCAAATTAAGGTGGAGTAATATGGTACATTCGGCAAGTGACGTGGTGCATTAGTGTGTTTCAATGTGCATGTACGCACGACAGGGCAGAATTGTATCGCACATAAATACACAGAGTAAATAATATCGCACATTTATACACAGCAGATGTAATATGGAGTAAATTTGGTCGTTGGAAAAAGTGTAAGCTTGGCTTCTTCTGGACGATGCTTTGGTTTAAAAAGGCGCATCCTTTGTGAACAAAACTAATGACCATATGGATGACTGATGTCCACTCAATCTGATTGATATGCAACTCGATATGACTTGATGGTGGTTGATCATTTAACAGGGGCGTGGGTAGGCAAGGGACTGATAGAAGGCAAGGGGCTGAGCAAACCAGCTTCCTGAAAATTTAGCGTTGGTCTCACGTGCTTTGAATGGAAGGACATAAACAAAAAGAAGTATCACCCCCTCCCCATACCCACACTCGGTTCGGAAGGACTCACCTTGTCACTGTTATCAAGGATCTCTTGAATAAAATCAGGGGGAGTGAAGATTGCGCTACGACTGATAATGGTGACGCATTGGGGCGTAACGGGGGCAGTGCACAAAAAAAAACGACAGTCGGCACAGCCGGCCGCGCACGCCACCGAAAGAGCGCTGCGCCAGCGTGCCTCTCTGTGACGTCAGCACTTTTGGACTTGTCCGAACAGCTTGCCGCGATCTCCTTGAGGCAAGGGTTCGCTCGAGGCAGCGTCTTAGTCGCTCCCGCCGGCTCCCACCGGCTGGTCCCGGGCGGGCCGAGTGGGTGTAGGATTTCCGGCCGTGATCGGCGCCGCGCCGCGGGCGTTGGCAATGCCCTTCATCAAGGTCAGCCGTGTCGTTCGTGCTCTGAGCGTAACAGCACGTCTCGCCGCCCCCGCCCCCGCCCGCCGTCGCCCGGTGGTGGGGGTGTGGCGTGTGGCCGCCGCGGGGGGGGGGGGGGGCGCTGCAATCCGAACAGCAGTAACTTGCGGGCAGATTGGGCCATTTTGGCGTTTTTTTCTCCGCACACGACAATATCAAGACGAATGAGACACCAGTGAAATTGGTTCCCAGAGCCGGGTAACTTTAGAAGTGCTGCCGCATCGCTGGCCCGAGGCCGCTGTTAGACTGGCGCAGAAGGCGTAAGTAACAATCTGGGGCGCGGCGGTCCGCTCCCGACCTGCACACGTGTTGACGGAGTTGGGGAAGGGGGCCAGGTGTGATCGGACAGTCGGGGCACGGACATCGTATGTGGTGAGTTTGCTGACGAATGGGCAAACTCTTCCCTCAGTGAGATGAAATGATCCAGCAAGGCCTATATCATGTTGCCATGAATTCCTCTGGTTTTTAACCGGCTCTTTCCTTTGCTTTTCTTGCCCACACCTATGCCTAAAATTTGGGAACAACGGAGGAGTTGGTATACATGTCTCGTTGACTGAAATGACGCTTTGAAATTTTAGAATCATGCCGCAATGCATCAATTTTTGAGCAACGATGAATGATTACGAGATATGTTGGCGTGTAACTCAGCCGCCGGACAAGGAAGTTTTCTCTCGGCAGGGACGGATCCAGCCTGGAGTTGCTTTTTTTTGGGGGGGGGGGACCGTTCGTCGCCAGCTGGCTGGTGTGGGATCCGAGGTCCAGTGCACTTATCAAATACGATGTTTGCGCCGAGTATGACTAAGCCTCGTCAACATGCGCTTTATCTTGATATTTAAATCGCTGCCAACTTTTCTTCATGAAGTTTTTTTCCGAAGCGGAAAGGAATGTTTGATTCCGCGCCATCAAAGTTAAAACAGACGGTAAGTAGACGAAACTTCTATGAAGTTCTGGGAATGTTTTGGGGGGCCAAAACATTCTCTCAGAATTTTTGGGTGGCCATGGCCCCGTGCCCCCCCCCCCCCCACGATCCGCCTATGTCTCTCTGCCCATCAATTCATCACAGGGAAGCTATGAAGGATAAGGCAAGAGAGGACGAAGGCTTTAACGGATGCGGCAAACACGCCGCTCATTACCAATACGGAAGGAGAGAAGGGGATGCCCATCTCATGACCAAATCTGGGATGACATTGGCTTGAAGGCGGAGTTTGCAGTGGCGATTTCGGCGGTGGTTTGCGCATCTTGTCGTGTTTCAAACTTTGCAGACATCCGCCGCATTGACGCACTGCCTGGTTTTTACAGTTGGCTCGCCAAACCGGGTCCGAGAACTAAGAGCAATGCACGGCCACTCATCCATGGGCCGGAGCCGCCCAGCGCCATCCGCCTCATACAGAAGTATATCACTCACCCCAGAGATGGCAGCACGCACGCACCGTCTGGTTCGCCCAGACGTCGATCGCAGCAGGTCACCGAAGCTGGAGAGAACCTGCAACATCGGTGACGTGAACATCACGGTCAAGTGAACTGACCGGTGTCTCCGGTGGCACTAGCATGCTGCTGGCACCCATACCGGCCGGACAAAGACCCTCGTGCGTCGTCCTGTTCTGGCTTCCCAGTGCCACGCTGTCGTGTGCCACTCGGAAGTGACTCGGGTCGAGGCAGGACGGGCTCTTAACCAGCAGTGAGGAGGCAGGCCGGGGCGGGTGCTGCCTCCCCCATGCTCGCGAACAATCCGGCGCAATGGACGCCTGCAGGCCGCTCGGCGTGGCCGCGACCGGCACGCGCTGGTGTCGCCCCGGCCCGTCTGCGAGCGGCACCGTTGGGACCTCGACAACTGCCAGGAAATACCACATAGAATAGGTCAGTTATCTCTGGGTGTACTGTGACATGGGTGTTTAGTGGGATATAGCTTGTGAAACGCATTGTGAAATGTAAATAGCTCGTCATGAAACGTGTCTATGACATTGTAAAATCAGTTCTAGTCATCGTTTGTGTCACAGACACGCACTAAGCCATGTTTTGGTGAACAGGGGTCACATTTGAAAATGTATCGGAACGCTTGCGAATCTTGACCGAATTCCCACGAAATCGCCTAGCATATTATGTAAACCTCTTGGTTTAGAGGGCGGGGGTCAAAGACCCGCGTGCCTTTCCCTTAGCCAATTTCCTGGTGAACTCAGCATGTTTTGGGGCTGCAAGGTTCCCAGTCCAGACCTGAGAGGTCCCAAAAGGTTTGGTGGCTGTATCTCCCTGCCTTACCCCCTCTATCCCTGTCCGCGTTGTCACGCCGCGCCCTGTGCTCCAGCTGTGCCCGGCACACAGAGGGATAACCTGTGCCGGCCTCCCTGTCGGTCTGCCACGACGTCTCCTCCGGCAGTGAGCTGCGGCTGAGTGCTGCCACGGACCGGGTGCAGTGCAGCTGACCCTACAGCACGCGGCTCGGCCCATCGGACCCGCCGCCACCTGCGGCCAGACGGCCGCCTCATCACCAGACACCAGACCCGCTTCCCCTCCCCGTCACGGATGTGCAGTAGGGAGCGGTTACCCGGGATCCGGTGACTTTCGATGATTTAGTAGTGATATTATCGTGCCTTGGCATGCGGAGCGTGTGGCGCACTGAGTCTGTCACATATTGAGTCTGGAGGGGTACTGGCGACGTCGATCCTTTAAAGTTCCCGTGCTCCTGCCGTCTCACTGTCGCAGGAGGCATGGTCAAGTCCTGAACGGTGGGGCTCCACGGTGGCAAGACTCTGTGTCAATTCTTAGGCCTCTGCAAGTCATCAGGCAGGCCTGCATGTGATGTCAAGTAGTTCCATGAACTCGCTTTATATATATATATATATATATATATATATATATATATATATATCACCTCCTTGGTCCAGGGTGAAAATGCTGGGCTCATAATCCAACGGCACTGGCTACGCGTCCCAAAACGGGCGCATTGTTAAGCCCGCTGAAATGGAAAGGTCATCTAGCAACTGGTTAACGACGGCCAGCCCAGGCCCGGGCGTCCGTGTCGCAGTAATGCGCGGTACGTGAAACCCTCCGCATTTCTGTTCGGCGAAAGGGGAGGCAAAATTTCCGTTGTACTAAACGGCACGACTTGGGTGATGGGTTCAGGGTACACGCAGCAAGCTATGCTTAGCAGGTACTCTGAACCCAAATTTACCCATGAAAACGGTTCGGAATAAATCCATCTGAAAAGAAAAAGCATCTGTACTTGAGCAAAATTCAGATCAACACGCAGGATGAATTGCACTTCCCGTAAGTTGACGTATTGCTCGTGGAAGACATAAGTCGTTGTTTCATTCGCTGTAACTTGTTGATCTTGTCGCCTTTCACGGCTTGCCGACACTTGTTTGGAGGAATAGTATTTTCATATACTGCTGACGCTCCCGGAAACGCTTTTATTAAACATCGCCTTCGTGGGCGTATTTTCTTTTCACCGACAACCTTTTGCACAACTTGTATGCGTCCTTATCGCGCTTAGGGTATCTGATTGGCTTTAAAAAGCATGCGTATTATAGCCAAGTCCAAGCTGTGGAACTAACGTCAAGCATAGCTGAAACAAATCGAGCTCAGGCCCCACGGCTGGCCATTGCTCCAACAGGTTCAACAGCAACGCGGTCCAGCTGAAGCTTTAGAGGGGGTGTTCCACATTTGAAGACATGAAAGCAAGCATCTTATACGATAAAATAAGTTCACTTGCACAATTATATATATATATATATATATATATATATATATATATATATATATATGGATATACTTTTCAGTGGAAAAACTGTTCTGGACAGCACAATTTCTTTGTTCGGTGAATATGCTCCTCAGTATGGTATCTCATTACGTCATCGTACCTTGCACAACATTGATTGAGAGCCAACTGACATGCGTTAAATCTGGAAATAGTGCTCACGAATGCCAGATATGAACAACTCAAAAGTCATATTTTGTTTGGCCCTGGTCGCTGCACAGCTAGTGAAGTGACAAGATTTCAATGACGTTATTACGTCATGAATGCCAGGGCGACTTTGAAATACTTTCTCCGATTTGCCTTTCCCCATTTTCGCGGACATGTAGCTCAAAAACTGGAGGGGGAGGGTGAAGTCTTAAGGAGGGCAGGGCTGTGATTCCCTTCAGCGTCGTCCAGTGGTGCTTGCGATGTCAGGGTTGGTATCGAGGCAGAAGACCTCGAGCCGATTTTCCGAATTTTAGTCGGCTGTACCAAAGTCCCGGACTTAAGATGTTTGTAACTACTCCCAAGGCTATTCAACGTACTCCTACACTACTAACAGCTAGTCCTCCCTACATCTACTCCCACATTTTGGAGCTGCATCCAACAATCCAATGTACTTTCACCCCCGCGGGTGTACTATTGGACAAGTTTACTATTGGAACTAAACGGTTGATTCTAGCTCCTTTGGCGCACAGTGTGTCTGTCGCCGGAGTTCTCGACTGAGGCGACCACATTGCCATCAGAACCAGGGATTGGTCAGCTGCTCGAATCGGCAAGGTGAGGTCTGACGAAACAGCCTCCGCTCTCAGCCCAGAATTCCTGTCTCATCTCTGATGACTCCTGTATTGACGCCCCTTCGGCTCTGTGTGACCTGTCGTCAACATGTGACCATTCCGAGTTTGCACATGGAATTGCACGGTATGTCAGCAGTGGCAAGGACTCGGACAGACCCTGGTAACCTCTGTGAAGGGGTGCGCCCCATTTTATTGCCTGTCCTTGGATTGGAGTTTCCCTGCAGACCTGTGCCCGGCGCGTGACTCAGCGTTAGCCCAGTGTTGCGGTGTAAACCTCGAAAACCAATCAGTTAAGATTGATAAGCGCCAAGCCGGGCCGACAGAGGTGCAAGCTTATATAATCGTGGTCGCGCTTCAGTCGCTCGCTATTTGCCCCAGATTGGAAGAGCCTGCGGCCGCTGCCAGCGGTCACACTAAACGTCAGGTGATATCAGCGGGTCGGATGGGCAGTGCAGAGCTTTACGAGAGGTTGTCTTTCGCCGCAAAATTATGTTGCTGATCTTTCAATTTCACACTTGGATCGCGAGATCAGAACTCAGGCAACAAGCACTGTTTAGCGTGGGCGCTGAATCAAAAAATCCATTCAATCAAAAAGCTCTCCGTGAATAATTAAAAAAGACTCTCCTGACCCTCACACTCCCCGCCCGTTCCATAAAATGATAGAAAATGGGCTAATTCTGAATCATTACACCATCGAGAACAAACCTACTTCCCGTCTCGCCTCGGAAAGTCCTCTCCCCCCTCCCCCCTTCCTTCCTTCTTCTTGAGAAGGCTGCTGAGCGGTAGGAAATTCCAGGCAACTGCATAATAAGCCTTTGGGTTCTTTCACGTTTTGACAGGAACGGTACGCATATTATCAAGTCACAATTATCATGCCTCTGCGAGGGCATGCATTTCGAACTCATACATTTGAAGCGTGTTTGTGTTCTAGAGCAGAAACACGCTCACATGTATTTCATGCTTTGTGGTCATATGTGTTAACTTTAACACTACGTCGTTATATGCAATGAACATGACATGTGGAGTAACCTGAGTCATGTCTTTTAGGCTTCCCTGATAAATATGCACTACGGCACCACACGGGCGGTAGCGTTTAGGTGGTGGCGCATGGTACCAAGATTAGACATCTTACGCTCTTTTGGCCGTGAAAGAAATGATTGTCCGGGACCACACGTCACCTTTGCCACCACAGAAGCGAATCGTTGGAGCAATTTTACCCTGTCTTTTTGCCTCCAGCACAGCATGCTGGTCGGCCAGAAACTGCACGGCCGGTTTGGTGACCATGATGCGACCAGTGTGCGGTTGGATGTTCCCCGTGACTTACGCAAGGATTGTATGCAATGTTCATCCGTTTTTTTGGCGTCAGATAAAGCCTATTCAAGGAAATAACCCTTGATGATAGCGTATGATTCACTCGTGACTTTGCAACAGACACCACAAATTATTCCCGTGTAATGTGGAGCCATATCCACACAGCCCGAACGTTGGAACGCACGGTCCGATTAATTTTCCACCAGCAGACGCAGTGTTGAAGGATTGCAATTGTTCCCACAGTGTGACCTATCATTAATGTGTGCTGCTGCGGATGAAGACCATGAGTTGCCAGATGTTAACAACCCAAGTTGCCAGGTGTGGTCACGCCGCGCTGTCCGGAAGTGAAACACGGGGTGGACGCGGAATAACGGAATATTTTGCGGATTGGACGTGCTGATCGGCTGTGTTATGGTTAAATTGTCTGAAAATGGCGCACAGGGGCGCGGACGACAGAACTCGGGCTTGTGTGCGCGCGCGGAGATGTGAATGTCTATGTGTGCTCGGTCGAATCTGACCACGCGAACAGGAGTGCCACGGAATAAGGACGTTCCGTGTGATGCCAAGGATGGGCTGCATGCACGACGATGGGTCTGCCCCGTGTCCGCGGTGGGGTGGTTTATGCAAGTGGGGGACGGTGGTGGGATCCGCAGCGGTGATAAGAATAAGACCCTGCGAAAGAGGCACTTGCTCCGTGTCGGGCTGCTGGTGTATTGTCGTGCGTGCGACGCCGGTACCCGCGTGCGTAGGAGCTCTCCGCTCGTAGGCGTATCCCGGGCGGAGGCTGCGCGAACAGGCTGGCCGGTGACATACCAAATGCGCGCGCTGAGTCGTCTGGAGTGAAGTGGGAGGTGAGGCTTTGTATGCTGGATGTACCGTGCGCGACGTGCGTTGAAGTTTCCATATCCGGGCTGATGCTCTTTTGTAGGTTTTGAATATATGTTTACATGTTTCGATGGCGTTTCCGGGCAATGGACGTCACGCCTGAGGGACTCTCTAATCTTCGGACATGTCATTACTGAGAGCCAGACTAAAGCCACTGAATTGCGACAGTGGCAGCATGAGAGAAGTCCCGAATACGAAAACATTGCTTCCCATCTGCTCTGTTGAGCGCCGAGACGTGAGGGCAGCCGGCACCAGTGTCACGCGAGCGCCAGCCTTCCGTGACATACGGCCACGCCGCGCTCGATCTGGTGGGTGGTCGGGCTAGGGTTGTGGTCGGGCCACGCCACGCTCGAGATGGTGGGTGGTCGGGCCAGGCTCGCGGTCGGGCCACGTCACGCTCAAGCTGGTGGGTGGTCGGGCTAGGGTTCTGGTCGGGCCACGTTACGCTCGGGCTGGTGCGTGGTCGGGCCGGGGCCATAGTCAGGCCACGTCACGCTCGGGCTGGTGGGTGGTCGGGCCACGCCACGCTCGGGCTGCTGGGTGGTCGGGTCAGGCTCGTGGTCGGGCCACGTCACGCCCGAGCTGGTGGGTGGTCGAGCTAGGGTTCTGGTCGGGCCACGTTACGCTCGGGCTGGTGGGTGGTCGGGCCATGTTCGTGGTCGGGCCACGTCACGCTCGAGCTGATGGGTGGTTGGGTCAGGCTCAGCACGTTAGAGCTGCTCAACCTAGTCACACACGCCGGGGCACGGCAACATGCGACGCATGACGTGGTACCGACGCGCTGACGACCCAGCCCTGAATCATGCAATCTGAACACTAAAACAAGATTAAATGAAACGCCAAGTAACTGCCCAACTGCTGGCTAGCGTTGAGGTCGCACGTGACATCAGGATGCTGAGAAAATGTCACGGTGACAAGATGAGCCATATGATTAAGACTAACCTCGCCTTTGTTTGCGTGCATATACGCCACAATGTGTATGGAAAGTATCATGTGCTGGCTAGTTGCAGCGTCATCGCAGCACTGTGCGAAAGATCGCTGGCGCTGTTTTCTTGCCACCCCATGAAATGGACAAAAATACCAAAGTTGATATATTATCGGTCACAGACTGAGGCATCAAAGCTCAGCCCTGACCTGCCGCCTCGCGCACGCTTGTTTCAGTACCAATGAACAGCGGTAGCAGTCTGGCGGCGCATCTTTCTTCGTGCACACAGCCGTGGCATACCAAATAAACACAAGACCGCATCAGAGTGAACAGCTAGGCAGGCTTGCATATTGTAGCAGCATAAACTCGCGACAGCCGAAGATCTCAACGTTCTATACATCCCGTTATAACATATCCGTACATAGCGGTCACAACAGTGTATGCCTACCTTCTGCTACATGGAGATTGCTGCAGAAGGAGCCCACTATAGCGCGCTTGGTGCGCTAGTGTGCTCTTTGTGTTCTGGCCTATTCTAGTTTAAGTGAGCATACAAGACATATATAAATATATTGGCCAACGCTGTATACCTCTCGTTTCACTGATAGTTGCGCAATCATATCAACTATCGGTGACCAGACTGTCACCCACTGGAATACGAAAACGACACCCTCATCCCCGCAGAAGGCAGGCAAGACAACAGATCACAGGCCAGATTAAAGCGTCTCGAAACTTTGCTTCGAGACCCCATTACCCCGGATACAACTGTCGGAGACAACTAGGACACACCACCACCCGATGAGGCGCACGCCAAGGTTTTGTGCACGCTCATGTTCACAAAATGGCAGCCCGCGCACGATGGAACATCCCACAGGCAGCAGCACAAAATAGTTTGGGCGATGCCTTCACAAGTAACGACAATGGAAGCACAAGAAACATGACGTCAGACACCTTTTCCGACCATCTCAATACAAAAAAGAAACTTGCGACATACTTCTAGCTTAAGTCAGTCAGCGACCTCCAACAATCAGCTGAGCAATAAACGACGGAAATACACCCAGAGTTGCAAAACGTGACTGTTAAAAAGTCACTTACCACGCTGTATTTCCCAAAAATTCGCGCAAAAGCACTTAAGATGGACGATAACAGTAAACGGAACATCAAAGCAGCATTCTTTTACGCTACAAGTGCCTGCCGCGATCGACGAAATTCATAGATTTCACGACATACACGAAAAGGACTCGGCATTCCCACACAGTAACAACGCAAGCTGAGAGCCACTTTACCGTCAGCTGTAGCGCGGCGGTACATCCATGGATTTAGAATACCATGTATATCTTACATATATCGACGAATACTATACGGCTCTCGTTTAGAAGGTTTTCCGTAACTCGGCACGTGCCAAAGGGGGCCCGACGAGATTCCCAGCCAGACTAAACAGAATGATGACAGGATTCCCGACGCCTGTCTCCCAAACCAGCTCCTGAGGCTGCCGAGGGGCTCGGATTCCAACAGCGGCCGCCCTGGACGGAGCCGGCCTCCCAAACTAGCCGGCCGGTCTCCCAAACCAGCACTTGAGGCTGCCGAGGGGCTCGGATTCCAACAGCAGCCGCCCTGGACGGAGCCGGCCCCCCAAACCAGCCGGCCGGTCTCCCAAACCAGCCCCTGAGGCTGCCGAGGGGCTCGGATTCCAACAGCAGCCGCCCTGGACGGAGCCGCCCCCCCCCCCCCCCAAACCAGCCGACCGGTCTCCCAAACCAGCACCTGAGGCTGCCGAGGGGCTCAGATTCCAACAGCAGCCGCCCTGGACGGAGCCCGTCCGTCGCTGTTCTAGGTCAGCGAGCTGTCCGTGGCGGAGGAGGGCCGGACCGGGCGCCGTCGCCGCCAGCACGTGCACCTGCTGTCCGCGCGAGGCGCTGTACACCTGGCCCACCGCGAACGGCTCCAGCCTCGGCAGACCAGACCCGGCGTTCAGCAGGCGGTTGGCCGGCTCTGCCGCGCACAGGAGACGGACACGGTCAGAGGGTGACACACAGGAGACGGACACGGTCAGAGGTGACACACAGCAGACGGACAAGGTCAGAGGTGACACACAGCAGACGGACACGGTCAGAGGTGACACACAGCAGACGGACACGGTCAGAGATGACACACAGCAGACGGACATAGTCAGAGGTGACACAGCAGACGGACACGGTCAGAGGTGACACAGCAGACGGACACGGTCAGAGATGACACACAGCAGACGGACACGGTCAGAGATGACACACAGCAGACGGACACGGTCAGAGGTGACACAGCAGACGGTTACAGTCAGAGGTGACACACAGGAGACGGTCACGATCAGAGGTGACACACAGCAGACGGACACAGTCAGAGGTGACACACAGCAGACGGACACGATCAGAGGTGACACACAGCAGACGGACACGGTCAGAGATGACACACAGCAGACGGACACGGTCAGAGGTGACGCACAGCAGACGGACACGGTCGGAGGTGACGGACAGCAGACGGACACGGTCAGAGGCAACACACAGCAGGCGAGCACGGTCAGGGATGACACACAGCAGACGGCAGCGGTCAGGGGTGACACACAGCAGACGGACACGGTCAGAGATAACACACAGCAAACGAACACGGTCAGGGGGGGGGGGGGGGGGGAACACGGCAGACAGACACGGGCAGAGGTGACACACAGCAGACGGCAACGGTCAGAGGCAACATACAGCAGACGAGCACGGTCAGGGGTGACACACAGCAGACGGCAACGGTCAGGAGTGACACACAGCAGACGGCCACGGTCAGGGCTGGCACACAGCAGACGGGCGCGGTCGTCGCAGACGACCGACAAAAAACGACAAAACAACAAAAAACGACAAGACGGCAAAAAAAAATGGCTGAATCCGAGTGGCACACAGCTGCGGACCAAAGTCGGCCCGCACCCAGCACAAGACCGGGGCCAGCGGCGCGCTTAGTAGAGGACCACGGCGCGGCCCGGACGTCTGCATCCACGCTCACGCCATGGGGGTGTACTGTCGTTTTTGTATCACCCATGGAGGGGGGGGGGGGGGGGTAGCGGCACTGCAGCCACGAAACAGTACATGCAAAACAGCCAGCCAAGCAGTGGACATTTATCGTCAGCAGGGGTGGATGATAGCTGTTACTTTCTGGAGCTTGTCACGGACTAAGAACGCGAACACGGGGCCGTCGCAGTGAATTTTGGCAGGTGAGAAAATAATTGCAACTTTACTTTCCAGTATTTCTGCCACACTTCACCCAAATTTTACGCACCGGTTCCTAAGCCCGAGATATTGCAAGATGTGTGTCAATGTGGCACAATGTCACAGCCCTCATGCGCTGCACAGATTCCTGCTCTTGCTGTGTGACAGGTGTCAGACATTCTATATGTATGCACGCTAATGCATGCCATACTGCATACGTAATGGAATGTGTTATTACTGTGTCACACATGTCATATGTTTATACGGAAGGTGAGTCACATAATGGTAGGAAGACGTGACCCACGGCGGGCACGCAACTCGGGGACGCCGTGGAAGATCAGAGTAGGGACGCAGCAGCGGAACGGACCAGGGACACCGCGGAAGGTCAGAGCAGGGACGCAGCAGCAGATCGGACCAGGGACACCGTGGAAGATCAGAGCAGGAACGCCGCGGAAGAATCAGGCACGGACGCAGGGCAGATCAGACCAGGGACACCGCGGAAGACCAGAGCCCGGACGCAGGGCAGATCAGACCGGGGACGCCGCGGAAGATCAGAGCACGGACGCAGGACAGATCAGACTGGAGACACCGGGCCAGATCAGCCCGGGAGGCGGCGACAGCGTCACTCAGGACAGCCGTGGCAGCGCTGCCCGGAACCGTGGCGGCGCCGCTTCAATTTAATTTCTATCAATCAACTAATGGCAAGCTTCACTTCAATCGTCACACAGCCAGAGCGGGTGGACTTTAAGGCATTTCGAGCGAACAGCAGCAGCAGCAGCAGCAGCAGCTGTGTACTCGGCGTCCGGCCTGGTCGGCAGGCGGGCAGCGGGGGCGCACCTTTGTTGGCCGGTATGTACCGGCTGAGCCGGACGGTCGGCAGCGGCAGGAAGCCGCCCGTCAGAGGCATCACCTCCAGCTGCAGCGAGTGGCGCGTGTCCGGGCCCATGTTCAGCACACCTGTCACGGAGAGGGTGAGCGTCGGCCACACAGGAGGCGCTGACCGCGCAGCGAGGCGGCGTGGGTCGCTGCTCTCCCACAGGCTGTCAATGTGATCCTTCTCTTCGGATAGGCAGACAGCGGCCAGATGCCTTAAATCCTGGTCCAGGAATCCGAGCCGTCAAAGGTCAAGACTGCCTTTTCCTATCACTTGAGGAGGGGGGGGGGGGGGGGGGACCTTCACAGGTCCTGGGTTAGAGTCATTTTACGCGGAGTGCATTAAGGTAGCGCTCAAGTGCACTCACATTACGCATCCAAATGATTGGTAGAACTTCCTTCTTACAGTGATGCAAGGTCACGAATGCGCCAAATCAAGTGTCCACCTCAAAGTAATGTTAGCACACCTTTTCCAGTGCACCGACGTCAAACAAATCACAACACAGGTGCGAACGCTCGAATCCATGACAGGCGCGCGCACCAGCCTCGCACGTATTTCACAAGCTCCCGGCCGGGGCTGTCTAGGTCATACCAGGTCACGACACAGCGCGGGCAGCCCACTGACCTGAGCTGCGTCCGCAGACGGCCACATGTTCTGGTCGGCCAGCACCTCGTACATGACGGCGCGCAGGTCGGCGCAGCTGTCCTCTGCGTCACGGTCACGTGCAGCTGGCAGATGGAAGCCGGACCGGCAGAACTCGGCCCCCTTCAGCGGCTCCATACGGCACGTCACGCTGAACAGCGTCTGCGGCACGGGCGCGCGCCAGCCGTCAGCTGCCATCAACGAACGACAGCTCCGAGCAGACCCAAACGTCCCCATAGTCCAACCAGCAGCAAGCTACGTCAGGAAGAGGACAGCAGCGTCTGGTAATTTCAGCTGGCACTCTAGGGTGCTTTTTGCACGATTTGCATTGAGCACTGCAGTGCCCATGACACCAGTGTCTAGAAGATAGCACAGGACTGTACCGATCCATTGAGGGTGACGACAGATTAGTTTAATTCTCCGACGACGCACGAACCCAGCCAAGGCAGCGAACCATTTACATACAAAATACTTACTGTTGCGTTGATCACGGGATTCGCAGCGTTACATGAACATATACGTACATTCAACCTTTGACCACACATTGACCTGTTTCTACATCCTTTTCAAACGAGCTGTCGGTCCTACCTCAGGCTGAGCCCTGCGCAGCCTCGTCCGTCTCGCTCAACAGCCCCGAGCCAGAACCACTCGGAGGGCGGCCCATCACGCCAGCGTTCCAAAGTTCATCTCGTATGTTGTGCAGGATGTAAATACAAACTCATCATACCAGAATCTTGGCTCTCCGGCGACCCCGCACGCCATTGGCAGGCGCTAATCCGTCGCCCTTTGACCCCGGACCCGGACATCTGACCTGTCCAGACCATTTGTCAAGCTTGAGGCGCTTGGATACTGGGCTAACAGCAGCCTCGTTCGATGCTGATTGGCCGATTTTGAGCAAGGGCAGAGGCGACAGGCTCTGAGCCCCAATCCGGGTGTAATAGCATGAAAAATATCGACATCTATGCCATCCAAGGGGCCGAATATTGGAACGCTGCCACCGCGCTGTCGCCGGCCGCACGGGTGGTACGGACTGTCTGGACGCCGCGCGCCGGAGCCGCAGAGATCACCGGGGCCGCGCCCAGAAAAGCCCCTCGGCTCGACCGGCAGGCCGCCAGCTCGTGCCGGCGCCGACTGACCCCTGTAGTCGGCGACGGTGAAGTCGAACTTGAAGCGCTGCTTGGAGTCGGCGTCCACGGCGCGGTAGTCGACGCAGAACTGGGCGCGAACGGGCGGCGTGGCCTCGTCCAGGCCCATCTCCCAGAGGTAGGAGACGCTCCGGTCACTGCACACCACCTGCAGCAGACACCGGTCGCTCAGTCCTCACACCACACACAGCCGCTCCATCTCCCAGAGGTAGGAGACGCTCCGGTCACTACACACTACCTGCAGCATACACCGGTCGCTCAATGGTCACACCGCAATCAAGCCGCTCCATCTGCCGTGGAAGACCTGGATTGGTGACATAGGGGGGCTTTGTGTGATGTGACCCAGTTAGACGCTTGGTTCTATTCGGCGCCGGTTTCACCTGCTCGAGATTTCGACGTCAGCCGGTTGCAAGCAGCCCTCACCAGCACATTACCGTATGATATGTCCTATGCTCAAAAATGTCCATGTTTAAAGACTCGGTTCGAACGTTTGAATGGAAATATTTTTGGGATGCGAGGCACACTAAGCAGTGCTCGTTGCGCGAGCCCTGGCCATCATCCAATCGTGAAATGTCGGGTCAACGGCAGAATATGATGTTTATTATATACACAATTATAAGTTTAACGTACCGCAATGTTTGGTAAGGTTCGCATTGCCCTATGGCGTCACAAAATCCTAAGCACTAAGCACTGCTGTACTGCTGCACTAGCACTAGTACTGCTGCTGCCACTGACTGCGGTCAGTGGCAGCAGCAGTCAAGGGCAAACAGCGAATACCTTAAACCATCCCAACTCAACCAGGGTGGGTGGATCGGAACGCTCGCTCTAACCCACTGACCTATCCGGACGGACAGACGGACGGACGGACGGACGGCTATTAAAATAATGATTGCGGCTATTGACGGCTGTTGAAAAATTGCTGCGTGGGATAAAAGTGTACTGAAAATGCAGCGGAAATATGTCTGCGCCCCACAATCCTCCGGAAGCGGGTGTAACTCACCACGCTCTCCGCGTTGGCGTTGAGGGAGGTGAGCGTGACTGGGGCGTCGTTGATGACGACAGCGCTCGGCTGCGTCAGCTCGAACGTCGTGTCGGTTCAGGCCGTGCATCATCACCTGGCGGCGGCGGTGGCGGCGGCGGCTCGGGTCAGGTCAGCGGTCACCGTGCTGGCCCAGCCACCGATCAAAGCCCGCCATCGGCGGATCACTCTACACAGCGCTCACAGCACCCTATGAGTGAAACCGAACAAAAAAATACGACGCAGGACGGCAAAACTAGATAGCCCCAGTTCTTGATATCCCAAGCGGTGCAAACATGATCCGTGAACAGACAGGGGCCATCGGACAACTGGGAGACCTTTCTGCAGTGCGTAAGTTCCTACCCTAATTCCCCAGTCTGTCCCCGACTGCCGGGCGCTGGTACTATGCGGTCGTCGCGGCCAGAAGTCAGCAGCCTCCGGCCGATCCGCGGCCGCCGGCCACCAAGCGCCCTTCACTGTTCGCGCGGCGTTGGCGGCCGAAGGCGGCTATCACGCACATACACTGCGGGTAGGAAGGCGCCTGCTTGGCCAGGCATCTCACCTGAACAAACTTCCTGACTTGGGCCGTGTGCAGCCTGAAATTGACGGAGAAGGGCAGCAGGAAGTAGAGCTCCGCTTCCACCGGTAGCGAACTCCAGGGACAGAAGATGTTCACCTGAAAACCACATCAGCATTCACATCACGTTTCACGCTGTCCTTTTGTTATAAAAAGTCACGTTTCGACAAAGATCCCAGTATCTCCCGCACCACCTCACGACGGGGCATCATCATTCATTGCGAGATCTCGCAGCGGATCCGCGTGCGGGCGGTGCGCCGCCGCCGTCTGCT